GTGAGGGATAAATTTTTATTTCTTTTACATGCAGTAAATTGTGTGAAATGGAGATATTTCCTAAGTAACTTTGAAGTTTTAAATGTTTTAACGCAATGCATTTTGTACAGAAGAGGACGATTGAATGATATTTTATTATTGGCAATTTATTTTGAGGCAATTTTGCTGCAGTTCATTCTATTCTTCTCTTTGTTACTACTACACCTTTGACTTTTCAACCTGCTTTTACATTTATTTCTTTTTTTTGTTCAACAAATATTTTTTGAAAACAATTCTTCTTTCATGCTTCCATTAGGGTTAATTATTATAATAAGTTTCAATTTTAGTGTTTTGATAGGATTAGATTTTAGTTTAGAAAGGGTTGAATTCAATTTTTAAATTAAAATTATTTAGTCTTATCTTTGCAATCCTATCTCTATAATTAAGAATTGATGGCTTGTATATGAATTGTTGATTGGAGAATGAAAAATAATTTTCAAGACCAATTGAATGTGCTCTAGATCTAAATTGAATGTGCTCTAGATCTAAATTGGATACAAATTTTCAAGACCAAAATACACACACACCAAATACATTGGTAATCATCAAATTCATCCAAATTGAGTTCATTGCAGCTATTGCTTGATATGTGTTGTCAGTAATGAAAGAGTTGATGAGCACCAATTTCTTTTCCTAAATTGCAAAGAAAATTTAAAATGATGTAAAGGAAGGAGCTAACAAGAAGTAAAATCAGAGAAGTTGGAATATATGGCACTAAAAGAAAGGAATTCAAATTAGTGAATGTAACTGCAGCGATTCATTTCAAGTTTCACGGTTATTCCAATGATTTAGTTTCCACATTTCATTTGTCAAGAGTGTTCTATGTATGATTTAGTGATTGTTACTTCGGCGGTTCCCTTCAAGTTTCAAAGTTGGACTGATGATCTAATATCCAAATTTCATTTTTAAAGAAAATGTTGTGTATGCAATAATTGAAGAGTAAATAATCAAAATGGTTTCTTAATTTCTTAGATATTTCCATTTGTCAAAAATTATTTCAGCTGTCTAATATTTTGGCCTCAAGCTCATTAAGTCTAAACTAATTAGGTACCAACGTCAACCTTGTCGTTTGATGAAAATTGGTGGATGTAAGCTTTTAATAAGGGCATTTTGGATAAGTCAGTATCAATACGTATTAGCAACTTAACTATACGATTGACCTTAAAAGTCTAAAATGATGTTATGAAAAGTTTCCCTGCACCAATTTTTACCCAAACAAATAACAAATTTGATGACAGGATCAATTTAGTTCATATTTAATAAGTTGAGAGATTGAATCGTGTGCCCTTTGAAAAGACAAGGATTAGTCATCGATAGCAATAAATTTATAAAGGGGGCCAAGTTGAACAAAATATTGGATCTAAATGAGGCGCCCAACCCCAAGAATTATTCACAAATATATCACCTCATACACAGTGGGATAAAGAATTGATATTGTTGTTGTTGTTTTATCACCTCATGCAATATAATATATTCCACTATAAGTGCAAGTTATATATATATATATATATATATATATATATATATATATATACATGTTTCATATGCGATGTAGTGAATCTTACTTCAACAATTCCCATCAAATTAGTTAGACTAATGATATAATATTCAAATGTCATTTCTAAAGATAAAGTTGTACATGAAATAAATATTAAATATTCAAATTGGTATCTAAAATTTTTACATGTGTCCATTTTAATTGTAGATTTTTTCAGCTGTCCAATATAGGCAGGCTTAAACTCTTCAAATTTGAACAAATTTGATCCCATTATCAACCTGCAATTTCTGTCATGACCCGACCCAGTTAGCCCGAATTAATGGGGCGGGACCAGACAGTCGTACGGAAAACTTCATAACATAAGCATAATCATTTCATATAAACTTTTATAACAGAATATGAATATCCTCAACACATAAAATAAGAAAGAGTCACTAAGAAAACATCAATACCATAATTGTCCAAATTTGCTTCTTCTCACACAACTACTAAAAACTTAAATCATCAACAGTTACATAAACTCCCACAAACTACACAGATACAGATCAAAAACTCAACAGAAAACATAAAACATAAAAAACCTTTCTTCTTTTCGATGTCCTCTACGACGGTAGCTATACTGTCGTCTTGTAGCCATCACTTCTTAATAATTTCTCCTTAAAAATATTTTCAAACGTAGGATGAGCCAATGCTCCGCAGGTAACATGTATTTATCTCAAATTCATGACTTAACTAAAAACAAAACTTTTATGATGAAATTTTCATTTAGAATACTTTGAGAAACTAAAATCAAATATTGATATGCATAAACTGGATAATCTTTTCATACAAAATTTTCTTTAAATATTTCCTTAAACGTTTTTATTCTTTATAAACTTTTCTTTTCATCATAACCTTTCATTTATATGCATAAAATACTTATAAATTATACACCCGTCCCGGAAGTACCAGTGTTTGTACTGATCAGGTACATAGTCTTTTGATCATTTGCTTTACAATTTGGCTCCAAAAAATCTCATTACTATTTGGCTTTTGCAAGTCCTTTTATCATTTGGCTCCGTAGAATCCCATTACCATTTTTGATACTTCCGGATCAACATGCACATACAATCATAATAGATCTCATATGGCTTAAGTTATTCAGAAATTCATGTGTTCGATTAACTTGTTTCAAGCATAATTGTTCTCATATCTACCTAAAAATTTCAGTTATGAGACAATAAGTCAATATAAAATCTTTCTTGCATAATAACATAAATAAAACTCAAACATGTGATAATTGCATGAAATATAACATTTATAAACTAAATATGTTTTATTTAACATAAAAGGAAATTTAGAAAATTTAGAGACATGAATTTGATTTAAATAAAAATACCTACCTATCTTAAACACGGTACTTCCTCAAAGTGTCGCTTCGACATAGCTCATTCACATTAACGATCACAACCTAAAATGATTACAAAAGAGACGTATCATAAATTTAATTCCTTAAAGTTTAATCTTATTCCTTAGTCTAAACCCATTGTTTTCTCCTTAACTATTCCTTACGACACTTAATGAATTTTAGCTAAATTAATATTAATTTTCGGATTAAATTAATTAGGGAAATTATAAGAAATAAAATTTTCATTAAAAATCCAAATTTTTATTTTTAATACATTCCTAAGGCCCTTAGAAATAACTTTTGTAAAAGCACTTAATAGAAATTAGGTTTTAGGGAAAAAGCCATAAAATTTCATTGTCCAAAAAATTTCTCCAAAAATTTCGTTTCTGCCGTTAAAATGCTCCCCTAATCATTCTCTATTGATTCCTTAAAGAAATTTTGGAATAAAACGAGATTTTGAAAAAACCCTAGAAATTTCATCTCTAAATATCTTGAGATTTAGAAGAGGAAACAAAATTCTAAAAGATACCTTCTTCTTCCCTTGACCTCCTCTTCGATTTCCCCTAAATTTTTCGCCAGAAAAATCGCCTCCGGAGCTACCCGTCGCCCCTACCGTCCGCCCCTTTCGTTTCTCCAGGCCGAACTATGCGAAATGAGGGATTGGGGCTTTCATTTTTGCTATATTAGGAGAAAGGGGTTTGCCAAATGTCTTTTTTACCTTCACTTAAGTAAATTTGGCCTTTTAAATGGTTAGGGGTAAAGTTGGCATTATGATACTTTGATTAATTTTAAATCCTAAAATAAGAAAAATTAGGTTTATGTTTTATATATCAAAACGATCAGAATTTTATGTAGGATTTTATAAAATTATTTTCATCGAATTTCGTTAACTTTGAAATTTCACTTAAGTTTCGTCGCGACACATCGAAAAGCGTGCAACGACCTATGATCGTCGTTTCGGGTTTAACAATTTCCTTGCACAAAAATTGGAGGAAAGCTTTTCATAAGAGCATTTTGGACTTTTCAAGTCAATCAAGTCTAACTATATGATTGACCTTAAAAGTTCAAAATGTTGTTATGAAAAGTTTCATTCCACAAAATTTTGTCCAAATAAACAAGAAGTTGACGACTAGGTCAAATTGGTTCATATTTAATGAGTTGAAGGATTGATTTGGACTCTAAAAGAAAAAAAATTGCAATGTCGATGTAAGTGTCCTTGTTGAACTCAATAATGGATATAAAGGAGGCCGTCAGTCCCAAGAATTTCTTGCAAACTCATTTATCACCTCATGCAATATATATGTATAAAAAAAATCACCTCATGCAATATAATACATTGCACTATAAAATACAATTTTTATATGCTAAAGTCACCTCCACCACTCCCTTTCTCTGGTCCCGGTTTACATACAGAGCATATCAAAATCCTCTGATCTGCAGCTGGTTGGAATGCGAGGTGCTTGAGTTAGCATACCATCTGTTGCAAATATTATTTTGTCCGGAATCCAGGCCCCAACAAAAATGCGCCACGTCCGGTACCAGGTTTATACCGAGCGGTACTCGGTACTCGGTACCGCTCGGTACCTGAGCGTAAACCGGACAATTCTCCCGTCCCGTATCCACACAAAATAGTCTCTCTATCTGTTGTCCCCAATAGACCTTAAGTTTGTATTACAGTGAACTCCAGGCATTGAGATAGAGAAAGGGGTTTTCAAGTAGGGCATACTTTTTTTTTTTTATGACTTAGGTTGGCGGTGGAATGTTTGGTGCTACTAGTTATCAGGAATCTGTTCTTCTTCCAACAAACCACGTTCTTGGTACAATCACCTATGTACGTAAGACTACTGACACTTATTCAAATGTTCCAAAATTCCTAAGAAGGAAAATATTTTGCAATCCTCAATAATTTAAATAACAGCAAACAAAATTAATTAGCATTTCTTTCTACCACTAAAAAGTTGTAAATAGCATGGCAGTTTCCAATTTTCTTCCGTTGAATATCTTTGCCGTTCTCGAGTTGTATGAACAGGATGCAAACTTCTTCTCTTGTAAAATTTCCTTTTTCATGTTTTACAGGCACCTAAGGGTGAAGAGTCTATTGGTGTAGAACGCTCAACTTTTGCCCTTTTTATGCAGCCTGACTGGTATGTTTAATAGAGGTTTTTTGTACTTTCCATTGGTCAAAAAGACCTTCATTCGATAAATTCACACCTCGCGTCTAGTTGAGACGTACAATTTTTACCTCTTAACAGTTTAGAAAAAAAAAAAGCAGTTTTGTTAGGCAATAGAGATTTTTATTTTCAATATAAATTTGCGAGCTTACCATATGTATTTGCAGGGACGAGTTTCTCAAATTTCCAGCTGAAATTCATCATCATCAGGAGGTACTGATGGAATGCGAAGGACCGGAAAATGCTTTTAAAGCCCACCAATCATTAAAACCTGAAAAGAAGCTTTTTTTTTTTTTTTTCTGCGTCCTGACACTAATAGTATTTATACGCATTTTTAATGAATATTTTTAAATAATGTTTAGTTTTTGTTTCTCTGTCACAGTTGATCCCACCAAATGGAACTCTTACTTTTGGAGAGTATTCGGAGGCACTTCTCCATAAATATTATAATCGAAAGCTATGAAGAATTTATGATGCTCCCTTGTACGTGAGTGCATAATTGATTATAAACGAAACAGGGTCCTTCACCATTGGAATCATCTTGGCAATTGAGGTGCTTGTATGCATGTTATATTTCAATGACAAAATAGTTGGTCTTTTATTTTTTTTATAAAAAATAAATTCTGTAATTTAATTCTACATTATTCAATATCAAAGATTTCCGTCAATAAATTAAGGTAACAATGGTTGATTTTTTATTTTTTTTTTTGGTTGCAACAATTGCAATTTTTACTCTTTCGGAAAGGATTTTTTTTTTTATAAATTCTTCAAAAGCCAATATAAGAAAATAACAGTTATCTTATTGTTTTTTGACCAAACGGTTTATTTGTACAATCATATAATCTGTCCTACAAGGGTCCTCTGCGAGAAAATCACAAATATGTGGGGTTAAAAGCAAGAAGTTTTATCATTGCATCCCAAATTGAATACCCTGTAAAATTGTTGGAAGCACAATAGTTCATTTATATATTCATGTTGTATATGCCTAAATGCCTTCATAGGTGTTCTAACAAGTAGTGGCTGGGTCAAAAAGAGGACACTTTTCCTCAAGAGGAGTGGCAATTGCTCAAAACAACCAAGTAGCCTGTCCAAGGCAATGCAAGTCAAGGGTAGTTTGTTAGGCAAGCAAATTGTCATTTATCGTTACCTCAATCACTAGCTCTTACCTCGGAGTTATCTTCACCTTATCAAAGCTCAGCTATAAAAAAGCTCTCACATAGGGCTTCTTGCTTACCTTGCCAATACCTACCATAGCATCTTACCTCAACTACCTTATTATATTCGCCTATAAGCTTAAGGCGATCCAAGACCTAGTACAAGTTGATCGCAATGCTCAGCTAGTCTCCCTTTACAAATTTTGTCCAACTACGCACCATCTCTCAAACACATTAGTTAGCATAGAGCTCACCATCTACCTCACTAATCCAATGTATACTCAGCACTGCGTCATTGATCCAAAATGAATCTTCTAGCCCAACTCTCCTGTTAATTAGCAGGCAACGCTTGTATAGAGGGTGGTGTAGCATTTTGCATGTAATATGTGTAGCATTATATTTTTACTTTTCCTATGTAGTGTTTTATATAGATCTTAGCATTTTATAAATAAGGGATGATGGGAACAGTTCAGATGACTTCTCAATTTGGCGACCTTAGAGATCGTCCCATTTGTAGTGTGTGTCTACCTTCTAGAGCTGCTTCAGATCATAATTCTATAATGTTCAAGATTGATGATTCTTATCTTCCACATCATAAGTTTATCAGATTTGAAGACACTTGGAAATCTTATCCATCCGCATGGAATATTGTTCTTAAATCCTTGAGAAAAAATGATTTTGGAAGCAAAGCTAAAATCCTTAGAAGGAAGATGAGAAGATCCTAGAAGCTCTTTATTACTGTAATATGAACAAACTAAGAGATTTGAATACCATCAAAGAGAGTTTGAAAAATGATATCCTAAAGTTGCAAAATGGAGGACAGTATTAAGGGTGATCTAAATCATGTAGATTTGAAGGCACTTCACAGCAAAGTACCAGAACTTAATGTGACTTTAGCTCACTTTTCTACTTGGTGGAACCAAAGAGCCAAGATGAGATGGATGGAAGAGGGAGATTCAAATTTATAGTTTTTTTTTTTTTTTTGTATATAAAATTATATATTATATCAATTATACGTTATATCTAATAGTTATTTTCAGTAATATATCACTCTATATTTGAAAACTCTAATAGTTCACTAGTATAATATAGAGTGATATAACCTTTGATGCACTTTTGAGTGATATAATGTACTAGTGACTATTTGAGTGATATAACATTTGAGTGATATAATATAGAGGGATTTTTTTTTTTTTTCTTAAAATCTTCTTACAATCAAAATGATTTTAATGTAAGGATTGAATAAATTACTAATACTATATATATGTATATTTATACATATATATATAACTAAAATATAAGGTATAAGATAAGTAGTGCTTAAAGCACCACTATAACCATCATAATAAGATTACTAAAGACACAAGTGAGTTACCTCCCATAAGCACTAAATTTATAGTCTTCAGATAGATTATACCAATTATTTTGTTTCAAGATGAACCAATTCAACTTCCTTCTTAATCGATCAATGTCTTCACCTAAATAAGGTTTCAATTTGTGACCATTCATTTTAAAAACATGCAGGCTTTTCTTATCTTACATTTCCATAATTCTATAGGTAAATATTCTTATAACAGTGAATGGTCCTAACAATCTAGATTTTATATTTCCTAGGAATTTCTTTAATTTAGAAATAAAAAGTAAAATATCATGTCCAGGATTAATTTTTTTCCTAAGAAGCTTACGATCTTGCCTTTTTTTAACTTTATATTTATAAATCCTTGTATTTTCATAAGCTTTATTTCTTACTTTTTTTCAATTTACTCAACTACATTAATCTTTTCTCTTGTATACCTTCAAAATTAAAATTCAACTCTTTAATTATCCAGAATTCTTTTGTGCTCTAATTCCACATGAAGGTGACAAGCATTTTTAAAAATTAATTTATAGAGAGTTATACCAATATGAGTCTTAAAAGTAGTTTTAAATGCCCATAATGCAGCATCTAACTTAATCGCACAATCCCTCCTATTAGAACATATATTTACATTAAGATTCATTTAATATCCCAATTGCTAATTTCTGCCTGACCATTAGTTTGCGGATGATAAGTAGTCATTATCCTATGACAAATCCCATATTTCTTTAAGAATTTTTATTCTTTTATTATTGAAATGACTTCCTTTATGAGTGATTAAAACTCTTAGCATTCTAAATATAGAGAAAATTATTTTCTTTAAAAACTTGATCATAATTTCATAATCAATTTCAGCGGTTGCCACACCTTCATTCCACTTGAAATATACAACGTTAAGAATATATTAATTTCCATGGGATGGAATAAAAGGTCCCATAAAATCCAATCAACAAATATTTTTTTTTATTTCCAAAATATGGTTCAAAAGAGATTCATTTCATTTTGAAATTTTTTTTTCCTTTGGAATTAATTGCATTTCTTAATGTAAACATTTACATCCTTAAATAGAGTAGGCCAAAATAATCAAAATTGAAGAATTTAGAAGCAGTTCTAAAACCTCCAAAATATTCCCCATAATGAGAATCATGACATTCCATAATGATTGGCTTTATTTCTTCTTCAGGGACATATATTCTTATAATATTATCGTTGCAAGATATAAATAAATAAGATTCATCTCAAAAATAAGACTTGGTATTATACAAAAACTTCCTCTTTTGAATTTGTGATAAATCACAAGGAAGTATACCATTAATATGAAATTAATAATGTTAGCATACTAAGGTGATTTGTTCAAATGTAGAGAAAATAATTATTCATCGGGAAAATTTTATTAATCTCACCCTCATTTAGATGTATATTTTTAGTAAAAAATCTAGAAAGATTATCAACAATTTAATTTTCAGTACCCTTTTTGTCAAAAATTTCTACAACAAATTCTTGTAATGAAAGAATTCGCCTAACCAATCAAGGTTTAGTGTCTGTCATATGATATTTGATAGCAGAATGATCAGTATAAACAATTATTTTGGGCCCAAACAATTATGATGTAAATTTATCAAAAGGAAAAAATAAAGGTTAGCAATTCTTTTTTGGTAGTTGTATAATTACATTGTGCAGAATTTAAAATTTTGCTAGCACAAAAATGATATGGAATATCTTATCTCTTTTTTCTCATAATCGTACCTAGAGCAATGTCGCTTGTATCACACCTCACTATAAATGTAAAAACCAATTAGGAACAATAATAATTAAATCAATTATTAAATATTATTTTAAAGTATTAAAGGCATCAAGACATGCAAAATTAAATATAAAAAGGAACATCCTTGTCCAATAATTGACATAATAGTTTAGAAATCTTAAAGAAGTCCTTAATAAGTTTCCTATAAAATTTTGCATGACCTAAGAAACTATTCTATCACCTGAATTTTCGCAATGTCTACCTCAAATCTTTTCTTATAAATCTTATGCCCTAGATAATACCTTCAATTATCATAAATTGACACTTATTCAAATTTAACACTAAACTTGTTTTTACATATCTTTTAAAAATGGAGGCTAAATGCTTAAGAAAACAATCAAATGTAGTGTCAAATACAGAGAAGTCTTCCATGAAAATTTCAATACATTGCTCAATTAAATTTGAAAAGATTGATATCACACATCTTTACAATTTAGTAGGAGAATTACGAAGACTAAAATACATTCTTCTAAAAGCAAAAGTTCCATAAGGATTAATGAAGGTAGTCATATCTTGACCCTCAAGTGTAATAGGGATCTAATGATATCTGGAATATCCATCTAGAAAATAATAAAATGGATACCTTGCTAACCTATCTAGCATCTGATCTTAGTGGCTTTATTTAATTTCTTATAATCTATGTTAATCATCTAACCTGTGGAAGTTCTTGTGAGTATTAGTTCCTTATGTTCATTTGTTATGAAAATCGATCATTTTTTTAGAAAGAATAGGGCTAACCGAAGAACTATAAAAAATAGGGTAAACAATTCAAGCATCAAGCCATTTAAGTATCTCTTTCCTAACATCTTTCATGGAAGGATTAAGTCTTATTTGAGGGTTAATTTTTGGTATTAAATTAGCTTCCTTTAAATTCTATGCACGTAAATTGATGGACTAATCCCCTTAATGTTAGCAATTATCCACCAAAAAGTTCTTTTTAAATCATACTTGAGATGATAAGATAATGCCCTAAGCTTTTAAATAGAAATGATTATTAGCTTGATGTGATTCTAAATTTATCCCCTAATCAATTCATTGAAGATTATTAGCTTCCTTTGAATTTTATATAATTAAGCACATCAATTGTAACTTCTTAATCTTGAACCCTCATAGTCAAGTCACTCTTTTGCACATCAACTATGGCTTTTCCAATAGCTAAGTATGGTTTTCCTAAAATAAGAATTATTTCCATATCTTCTTCCATATCTAGAATAATAAAATTTTCATGGAAAATGAATTTATCAACTTTAATCAAAACATCTTCCATTACCCATCTTGGATATGTAAAATATCTATCAACCAACTGAAGAGCAATAGAAGTAGGTTGAACATCTCTTATATCTAACCATTTTAAGATAGAAACTAGCATGAGGTTGATACTA